TATGCTCAACTATCTGTCCAATTTCAGCATATCCAAGATCCGGTTTAAACAGTGTGTGGTTTAAATCAATGTATCACGCCACCACAATAATGGAGAAGAACATTGTTTTGTTAAAAGCACAATTCTCATCCAGCTGCCGCTTTGTAATATTAATGCTTGGAGACCCGTGAAACTCCGAATACTGAAAACATTCACACAAACGTCACCAATAGGTAGAGTGGGTCGATTTTGAAGGGTGAGTCAACATATGCAATATGAGTCAACATATGTATTATGTATCGGTGTAAAAATATTTCGGTAAAGAATAGTTCTTTCCATTTAATATTCCATTACATTACGTTGCACGACCACTTCGTCATCATTAAACAGAATTATTGATAAGATCCCATATCACTAACAGTAGCGTTCAGTAAATGGATAGACACATTTATCCGATTGCAAAATCAAAATCTTTAGGCTGTCAGTTTGCATCGACACGTTCTTACGTGGACAACATACGGCTGATTAATGCTGTCGCGCTAAAACTACAACGTGAAACTGAGTGAGTGGGTTTAGTTTTACGCCGCACGCAGCAATATTTCAGCTATATGGCGGTGGTCTGTAAATAATCGAGTCTGCACCAGACAATCCAGTGATCAATGGCATGAGCATCGATCTGCGCAATTGGGAACCGATGACATGTGTCAACCAAGTCAGTGAGCCTGAACACCCTATCCCGTTAGTCGCCTCTTACGACAAGCATGGGTTACTGAAGATCAATATTCTATACGGGTCACGTGAAACTGAGAGCTGAAACGGGGGTCTGTAAATATAAAAGAATCTGGATCGGATAATCTAGTGACTGACAACGTGGGCATCGATATACGCAACTGGATACGACGACATGCGTCAAATACGTCTGCACCAGTTACGAAGACGACGAATTCTAACCCGGATCTCCACGTATCCGTCTTAAGGTGACACAATGTGGTTCATTGCCACATGGGACATTGCACATCGGTGGGAACAATGCCATACATAACGAAGCTCCATGAGCTCAGATGCAGAACCGTATTTCAATCTCGTTCCGTCAACAACACTATAATTCTTGATGACCACTTACTTCAACAACATTATACGTTGTTACTCTCACGGTGTACATGTGTGTAAGGCGGATTTCATATCGTGAAGTTGCAAGCATGTGTCGGTATGTTACTTTGTTCGAAATTTGCCTATGTCCACAAGTGAGTGAGTGAGTGAGTTAAGATTTAAAGTCACATCAGCAATATTTCAGCCATATCGTAACTAAAACTAGTTCTTCATTTATAATACATACATATAATATATACAACCCTGTCAACGAAGGACAGTAAGACCACTAGATTATCACAGATTGAGTTAAAACTAGATAGGATATATCTTTAAAAGTAGAAAATTATTTCCGGACAATACAATGTAAAATTGGGCTATAGATCGCCAACAACTGAAGGTAGATCACCATACTAGGGACCATGGGGACTTACAGTGCCTTTGCTACCTGCATGGACCTGTGTCCGCAAGCATAAAACTCGGTACCCGATAACATAATTGCAATGTGACCATAGACAAAAAGAAAGTGATTAAACTATTAGCCATGCTGCAAAAGCGGTCAAGTTTACAGAATATGCGTAAGCCGAGGATGTAAGGTGATCAATGATCTTCGCACAGCTGCAAGGTCAAACCACACTGCAATGTTACGGAAAGTCCTAGAAATTTCCACACCGAATCTTAACAGAAACAATGTAAAACAAATGTTCCCTGTTCCACAATATCGACACAAAATGCCACATAACATTACTCCAAGGGAGCTGAGAATTAAGTAATGTGAAGGTATTTCTAACATCATACCAGGTTAGACTTGGTCTTCAACAACCAATGCTTATCGTAAAAGGCGACTAAAGGAATTAAGTGGTCAGGCCGCTGACTTGGTTGACACATGTAATCGTATCCCAGTTGCGTAGATGATGCTCATGGAGTTGATCACTTGATTGTCTGGTCCAGACTCGATTATTTTGGGACCGCCGCCATATAGCTAGCATATTTCTAAGTGCGGCGTAAAACTAATCTCACTCACTCACCCAATACCCCCGAGGAAGCTGAGAATTAAACAAAGCCACTTTGAGGAACCCGGTCCTGACTATCAGCTTAAGTAAATCATATCATTCATACACATGATGTAATTCTTTACTTGAGATAATGAAAAGCAGCAAAGTTCATTAATAATCTATTTTAAGACTTCAAATGACGTATTTCGACTGAGATGTTATCGATACTATAATTAGATCTATAATAGGGGAATGAACACATTCATTTCTACTAGTGTGATAAAATCAATGTTGTACACATCCAAATTGCTTTGTTTTTTAGGATTCAAATATATTACGAAAGATTTTTCAGTAACACAAACGTCAACGCCTAGCGGAAGTCATCATATTGCATCTGCAGCTGTGGCTTGAAGCAATATTTACTTACAAACTGACATATTGTCTGGTACCGGGTAGGAGTGAAACTTATTGCCTTGTGGCCTGCCGGATGAAAAACGCGATCAGGTGAATCAATTTCGAGAGAAAGGTGGTTATGTGACCATGCACGCCTTGCAGGCACGTATTGACCCTGGTCGAAGCAATGCTACACATCTATGCAATTAGGAATCTTGTATAGCTTTTAACAGCTTTTTAATATCTATGAAGCAATTTCTCTTAATTGCCACACCATGGTTGTCTGTTTGTTTAAATCAGAAACGTGTACTTATAGATGTTTTTTTGTTGAACATTTCATGAGACAAAACTTCAAATGTACCACCATGTTTCCGTTAATATGTAATGCCTATCTGAGCACAATAAGGGAACGTCTTTGTAGGTGTGTTTAGGAAAGGCTTGCATTGTTCATACAGCTGGGATGAAATTAGTTCTGTTTACTAATAATCATGTCTGTGCTAATTACTTATAAGGGGTTATTTTATCATATGTGTGTGACGCATACATGTCTTTTATCATGACTTATATATACCTTTTTCTACATTGACTTGACGAGATGGTGTTATAGCCTGCGGTGTTGATAATTTTGTTTGGTAATGGGTTCAATGAAATCAAGCTCATTCTAGTATCAAGTGAACTTTCACTTCATATTCACCAATTTGTAAGTGCATGTGATTGAAGGGCTGTGCTTTCCCAAACCTGGCATGTGGTGTGGTAGATATTTTGAGAAAGCATAACACATCCTACCATTCTGTCTTGGATGAGATGTACAACACTCAGTTGACCCGTCTTTCGTGTCATTTGGATCTGATGGATTCAATGCACCTCCACTGTCTCGTCTGTATAAAAGGGAAATGGTCGTGACACCCGACACTGACATTGCTAGTTGAGTTGCTACACAACCCCTGTCGCTCTGTATCCTGATACCTAGTGTCGCTATTATCAATTTTATGTCCTGAAACAGAGGTGACGAATGACAAACCATTGTGTTGTCATTTCCAGGTTATACTCATAGGAAGCACACTACTCTATTCACTTGACAAACCGCACTTTAAAATGGTTTACGAGAGGCATGATATTTCGTAACGTATATAAACGTACAACAGGTATAATTAACGTCGCTTTGAATACTAATTCATTTATATTGTTGTGGGACAATTTATTGATAATATTAGAGGGATATAGTGACAAGAAGGACAACGTGGTGCTGGCAATCCTCGAAACATATTGAAGTGTATGTAGGAATAGAACCAACAATGGCAGGTCACGACAAAGCAATAACAGCGAAGTGTAGTACCTCTGACGAAAGGTGGGGGATGCCCCTTTACACAATTGAACTTTAATCAATAGCTGACGAAAGATCACACTGTTTACTATATACACTCCATTTCACGCCAGATGTTGTATTATCCATGCAGTGTTTATGTTGCATATTCTCGATTCCAGGTAGCCTCGATATGGACTGTTGCTTGTGCCAAGCTGCCATGATAACGATGTCCAGAAACAAAGTCAAGCCGATGGACAGCACTGATGCTGAGTTGAATAAAAACAACAAATATGCAGATCCCCAGTTCAGACAGATAACCTCAGAAGACCTATTCTTCTCGTCGTGGGAAGGAAACAGATTTCGAGTTCATAAAATCCTTGCAATTTGTATCTTGTGTTCTCTGGTGATCGTTGTTATATTGGTAATCGAGATGGCCACCGATGGTCCTGCGCTGGCCAATGGATCACTTCAACGAACCTGTTTCCGAACTTTCTTCGATGTCGTGGACATACTGGACAACATTTCACTTTCTCGCAATTACAACTTTTTTGTACAGTGTTAACAACTGTTCAAGTGGAAACACTGAATGTGAAAGTTTACAAAATGTCTCATTTTTGATGACAAGTGACACAGTGTGCAACAATATAGCAGAACTCACCCAGCGCTCACAGTGTAGAACAATGTTCGCCTTGTCTAATGGATACAATTACACAACCAGTGGTATTAATGTCTTTCACCAGGTATACGCAGATGGAACTGCGTCCTACATGCCCTGTTTCTCAGACGCCAAATTCCTTCCATGGACAATACCTGCTAGATACCAGACATTACTGACAATGTTTAACGCTGTCAGTAAAGAACTTGCGTCTTGTTTGAGTTTTCGTAATAATGCTACAACAAGTTTACAGATTACAACAGCCAGGTCTGTAGTCTTATCTTCTCTGGACACTCACACAGACTTGGTTAAAGGAGAAAAGGAAACGTTTAATGCTACGCTGATCAGTTTGATTGGTAACTCTGAACATGACTGCTCGAGTAACATGACATCCATTGAGGTGTATGACATCCGAAAACAGGCTGTGTTACACATACTGACAGCAAGACATAGTTTAGAAGAATATATACTTTCCTGGCAGTCTACGGAGCTCGGTTCATTGACAAGACGGTTCATATTGTGGTGTAGTGCCTGCATGGTGGCCTTTGGCATGGCTGTTGGAATATCGTTTAGAGTCAAGAAAATGGCGGATTGGATCTACGCATATTCAAAAAGCTTAGAACAGAAAACCAATGACCTCAACGAGGAGAAAAAGATGACGGAGAAACTGTTGTATCAAATGTTACCTATTTCTGTGGCCAATAAGTTGAGGAACAACGAAAGTGTCAGTGCTGAATGGTTTGACTCGTCCACCATATTTTTCTCAGATATAGTTGGGTTTACCACCATCTCTGCTCGATGCACTCCGATGCAGGTTGTTGAGATGCTGAACAATTTGTATTCCCTGTTTGATTCCCGTATTGACACATATGACGTGTACAAAGTCGAGACAATTGGAGATGCGTACATGGTGGCCAGTGGACTTCCTGTCAAAAATGGAGAGAAGGTATATTGGAATGAATTTTTCTTAGTTTATTTGTGGGAACGAAACTGGGAGGGTGATTATGAGGGCCCATGATAACCTTATTCTGTGCATACACCAGCAAGCTGTTTAATGATTGGTAAATTAGTGAGAGCAAACCAAAAACTCACCTTTGATTTGCCATTTGTGTTTTCACCAGAAGTTACAACAAATGAACAATTCCTCTTAACCTAAATCTATTTAATTATACTGTAAACGTGTGTGTGCTTATGCCGTTGTTTTCTTATTAGTGATGAAATTATTGAAAATAGATGAAGAAACATCCTCACGAAAACAAAAGCATTTTGAAATCTTTTAGCGTCTAAGAAGATGTCGACTGCCGTAGCTGCTTTCTCTGGAATCTCTCAGCGGAAGCTCATATCCTTTCATTCTAGTTCAAATTAGTTTCATAACTGATGTATGTTTGTTTGACAAATTATACAGTTCTCATTGAATGCATTTACATGTTGATATGGTGTCCATTTTAAACTGTATATGTTCTGGACATGCCTTCAATTCATAGATTGTTATATCGCAACGATTTGTCACACATTCATTCACGCGACTAATCATACGGCGTTTGAGTGCCGCAGTTGCGAGTCCCACTCTTTTGCATCACCTGGCCGAGTTCCACCAACGTGATCGCGATTGGCAGCCTGTAGCGATGACGCACATTGCTATCTGTCATGTCCCAAACCTTTAAGAGGGATAAAACTATTGGCTTAGCGCTCGCCTTGACATTCTACAAAGGATGTCAGTATATCGTCTCGATAATACTGTCCTGTGACCCTTCCTTGCACAATGGAGTCAGGGCTAACTGAGTGAGAGTGATACCACCTCACACTATGAATGTGATCCTATAAACAAATCTCTCAAGAGATCTCAGGCTGACATAAACAGGACGTTCATTACGTTCTATGACTCAAAGTATGTGTTTTCGTCTTAGGTTTTGCAGATATAAACGTTCGTGCTTGCATTGGCTGTTTGATGTTCATCTAACACTTGTTTTCGTAACATTCATGTTTAATGATTTAATGATTTTTGGACGAACACAATTATACATGTCAATACGCTTGTGTATGTCATTGATCCTTTTCTAGAAGTATGTCATTGTCACGTTGACAGTGCGATGGCCCGCTTTCCATCTTCAACAACAAAAAAAGCAATCCTGTTCATAATATACCATGTAAAACATCATTCGCATACAAATATTTATAGTAATTATAGCTGATGGAACACGACAGTTTCGAAGAAGCTAGATACATTCTTCCGTTTTCCATATAATGTGGCCGTGTTGATTCAAATACACTAGTTATCGGTTAGTTTTATCTGAATGTTTTATTGATGTCTGGGTTACGTGCTTGGGTTGTAATTACAAGGCAAGTACAAGATGAGTACTATAGATAGTAACACGTATGCAATCACCCTAAAATAATATATTTTCTTCAAGAACCTAGTGTTTAAACAACTTCAAATGGCATATTGAGAGTTTGCGTCAACACTAATGGCGATTCAAGTAGCATTGTGTTGGCTCGACTTCGGCTCAGAACCGAAAGTAGGCGATTCGGCGCTAATAGAAATATTTGTTTGCATTGATTTTCCTGCTGTCTCACATTCAGTGACAATACATTCATTAAGTGTGTTTCATTTTTGGCAAAAGCTGAAATTGGATAATTTAATCCCACCTATATGAAGTGTTTATTAAATCAAACAGAAGTACATGTGTGAGTCATTCCTCATGTTAACAAGGGTAAAAAACGGCTGAGGTGCTCAAAGGAATCATATTCTTTTCAACAAAATGTTTAAAAAAATGTTTATATATTGAGTCAGCGATAAATCTTCATAGTCTAAAACATGACATACTCATTGAACCTGAAACTTTGCAAATGATTAACATACAGTAAAACTTTAACAATATACTGGGGTGAAAAGAATGAAATAGATATAAATCACAATAAATTGAAAGAGGGCGAAAATTCGAAACAAGTGGATATTGTACTGGTGATATACCGCCCTTATCTTGTATGGTAGATTTTTATCGTTTTCTGTTTGTCTGATATTATTCAAACGACAAATATAAAAGAACACAGAGACCCAGGTCACAAGGTCGTTCGGTCTATAGCCTTATGTATTTTGTACCTCTTTTATTGCGCATTATCATCCGTTTAATAGGCCTTACTATAAGCACGTTAACCAACCTGCTTGTAGGGTTAGTTAGGTGCATGATTAAAGTTTCCCACACTTCATTATCGAATATTGCAAGCATCCTCCTTTAGTGCCTTATATAGCATACAAACTGATCCTGTAATTGTCCTTTACATTGCAAATGAACTGCAACAGAGGTAAAGCAAATGAAACAAATGGCTATACCAGTAAACCGATATCGACTTTATCCACAGTGACGAACTATGATTGTAAAGCTTTCTTATATACCCCGTGATTATAACAAAGGTATGAACTTTTGACCCACAAGCTGCCGAGTATTTGAACAATCACAGAACTGAGGTACCAGGGCATGTACTTAGAGACGCCTGCTGGATACTTCCTGTTGACGTGCCTAAGACTTTTCGCGAACACCTGGTGTCATTACAGCAGTCCAATTATAGAATGTTCTCGGATGTATAGCTCGTTACACCAAACGGATCTGCTTTGGCGGATAATCAAGGTAGTTTTTGTGTTTTGACATTTTGTATAGCAATATGTACAGATGTTCTTAGAAACCATCATGAAGTCATCATGTTTTCCAATGTCACGTCCGTACAGCTGATATATTTGATATAAACACACTTATATCGCTGCCACGTTTGTCTGGAAAATGAATGGTGTGCATCAACATATATGCATCTGTGCATAAAAAAAGCACCACCCTGTATTTTTACCAATTAATTTTGTCTGAAGTGAAATGCTAAACACTTAAATGACCTTTATAATTTGATAGAACAAGCATTTAACATTTCAAAAACGAAAATATCATTAAAATTACCATGTAATTTATTTAGGATAATTGCCTATATTTAAAACTACATTATTCTGAAAAGTTAAAGTAACAATCGTCATGTAGCCTATAAATTCGTTATTTATTGTGAATGGATGAAAGTTTGTAAACAAAGATTTAGGAAAAGTTACAGTCAAACTAAAAAAAAATGTAAAATTTTAAAATGCAGTTACTGTTGCTTTACAAACATTACAAACATATTTTAGCTGTAATTCTCAGTATCCGACAAGGAAAAGTATTTATTCAATACAATAAACTCAATATCATAAAGACTTATTAAAAAATATGATTAATGTGACCTTTTTTCAGCTTTTGTCAATAAGAAATTTGAATAATTGGAAAAAAGTCCGAATCTCTGACATTCGGATTCTTCCTGATTATGCATAATTAAAGCTTACTTGATTTGTAAATGTCATCTTGGTATATAACAGAATTGTTATATTTAGTCAAAACTTGATTTAATTGTGTAGTTTTAGCAGGAGGGGAATAGTTATTTTGGGTAAAAATTCAGTCATCACATTTTCATCAACATATTCTTTCATAAAGAATAGAAAACGTTATGGTATTTGGAAAACTGTCAGTGGATAAAGCTTCTTTAACTATAGGTTGATTAAGTTGATGCATATACCCTGACCTTTCTGTAGCATCACATCTTATTTTCAAAATAGGGTGGTGCTTGATTAATGAACAGGTGTATATATATTCGACATAGAATCACTGAAGTAAAACGTATCCTTAATGGACAGTTTGAAAATATTCCATTTTATCCCTATCATGCGGCTTTTAATGGGCTCTTGCGAACCGGAAACTCGTGACTATTTGTTTTCCCAAATTCGAATCCACTTTATTCCATATATATTTATATTTCTCTGCAGCTAGTTCGGCATTTTAGAAACTCCTAGAAATTCTTTTTTAAACGCGCGTCCCGTCACATATGGTGATCGATCGTATATGAACGTATCACGCGTTCAGCTGACGTCATACACGTGATATTGTTTTGTGTATTCATCAACTATTGATTTGACAACAAAGGTTCACTGTCACGATGGTTATCTCCGTTCCCTACATACAAATCATGTATGTATGTAATCCTGTTTAAACCATTAATGCTGAAGGTCCAAGACGGTCAACATCTTGGTGCAGTGTAATGTCTTGAAAAGCATTCACTGCAAGGTCGAGGGTTGTCAGTAAACGTTCTGTATGTCTGAAAAGGGTTGTCAGTAAACGTTCTGTATGTCTGAAAAGGGTTGTCAGTAAACGTTCTGTATGTCTGAAAAGGGTTGTCAGTAAACGTTCTGTATGTCTGAAAAGGGGAATCCCACTCTGTTATTTTTATCGAAATGTTTGATGCCCTGCCATTTTCGGATCACGTGTTTCCTTCAAGAAATTGATGTACGATCAAGGGAATGGTTTAGATAAGATAAGATAGATAAGGAGATGTTAAATATAGAGAACCTGAATAATAGGAGAATCTGAAAATCACATTTCTCTGGGAACCCTTCAATCGACGCGAGAGTTTATTTGGGTTTTTCGGAAAAGTGAGTGAGTGAGTTAACATTTAACGTCACATCGGCAATATTTCAGCCATATTGTGACGAGAACATATGTGTCTTTGAAATGGAAGATATGTATGTTATAAAAACCTGTCGACGAAGGACAGTAAAACAACTAGAATATCACAATTACAACTAAAACTAGTGTGGAAAGTTAAAACTGATAGCACTATTTGGACAATACAATATAAAAACAAGCTATAGATCGCCAACAACTGAAGGTAGATCACCAGATTAGGGACCATGGGGACTTACATTACTTTTGCTACCTGCATGGTCCCTAGCTGGATTTATATCACCCCCTCAGCCGCTGGCGATTGAAGTCAAATTGAGCCGAAATTAAAATGACAAGAATGCTTCATTTAAAACAGCCGGTAAATTTAAATTTCCTTTGAATGTTTCAGGACTTACGTACCCTCTCAGGACAATACTTTTACGCTACTTCAACCCCCTTTGAGGGTACAGCCACTAACAATCTCAGTTACTAATCTAAACTACCAATAATAAAATATCTATCTATTTACAAATCAGTTAACAAGTCTAATTCTTTTAAAAATGCAATAATTAAATGAGAACTTATATTACTGAAAAGATCCTTCATAGTTTGTGATTTGAAATAGATATCCCTTGGAATATGGAATATTCAACATATTTTTGGAAAAGAGCTACACAGAGTAAGATGCAGTTAAATCAAACTCAGCGTATCTTGTTTGTCATGACCGTATCTCTTCGTAAAAAAGCTACGTATTTCGATTAAACTTTTCAGCAAGTTCATAAACAATATCAAACAAATTCGTGTAGTCGATATTTTCTAAAGGGTCCAATCGTGCATTTACCGTTGTAAGAACTTTTGTGATTTCCTAAATGCTACAACCACTAGGCTACCCCTCGGCCCCTCATATGGCACTGGATATATAGGGTCTTCTCAACATGGAAAACATTCGATCTCTTCAAGGCTGCTGATATCGACATTGATTTACAAACAATCAAGATTTAGGGTTACATGCGTGCTTGATTCGGGCAATGGTCAATAATTTTAATATTTGCTTTGGGTGAGTGAGTTAATATTTATCGTCACATCGGCAATATTTCAGCCATATCGTGACGAGAACAGTTTATAATTATATTATAGATCAATAAATTAGGACATCAAAAACCTCTTGACGAAAACAGTTTAGTGTATCACATATCTCTATTGAAAATATTTGAACTATCTTTGACTTCTCCAGCCGTTTTAGAGCAGAAGGATACGTACACCATGATATTTGCCTAAACACTATGTAACATATCAGCCGTTTTACATACGGACCTAAACAGTCCCGCTCTACTGTGGACATTGAATATGTTGTGTTGCTGATTGCCCTACTCTGATGTTTGCGAAGGTTCAAGATGAATGTTTGACTTATACCATTTCTCATTATTTCAACGACCAAAATAGAACTATGTCGCAAAATGATTGGATTCTGTCCATAATTACGTAATTAGGTACAGCAGGTCGACAGGACAGGGTGTTGTCTTTTCTTGGAGGATTACCATGGCGTCAAGACCCCCTTGTTTTTGTGCCCGGCCATGTGGGATTTACCAATAACGTAATCATATACACTTCTAGTTATCAATAAATATGTGTCGTCACAGTCACATTGACTTTGGAGAACACAATGTAGGTATTAAGGCATGTTTGCTATTGCGTATATTGATTAAAGACGTATTGTACAAGGCTAATACTAATTATTCAGAGCATTCCATAATTATGTATGTTGACTGTAAAGGTCTCTGCTGAGGAAGAAACCCAGCACCGTATGCGTTAAAGGCGACGTAATGGAGCGTGTGGTAATGATCAGAGATTAATTATAAAAAAAGAATAATATAAAACGAAAACAACAACAACAAAAAAAACCAAAAACCTCTGGCACCAGGTTCTTACAGAACTTTATCCAATAATTTCCCGAATAATGCTGCGGTCTTTTTGGACATACACATGTGTATGCTAACTTGATAAAACAGTATTGCCTGAGAACTCATCTTATGCAAATATGAAGACCCTTGGTCTTTGCTTTGACTCCATCAGTTTAGCTTGTTTCAGATGGAGGTCAAGTAATTCAGTAAGTCTTCATGAGGTTTTAGTTTGCTTCCACTCTGTGAATCATGTGAAACATCCACAGCAATGCAACCAAAATGCCTAGACACATGTATTAACAGACTGGGTGAGCGTATGGATGAGTGAGTGAGTGAGTGAGTGTTAACGTTTGCCACGAAAGAGAGACCGTCATTAACATTTAACATATGTGGTATGTATGCTAATCAATACTCCAGTCGAACAGTTCAAATGAACGTCTAAATATTAAGCATTATTGTTTTCGACATTGAAATAGAGAAACAACTTCCACCCCACCCATAAAATATCCGTGTGGATGGTGTGATCGAAGTACAATTTCCTATTTCACTCCGCCTCCGTGGTGTAGTGGTTAGAGCGTCCGCCCGGAGATCGGAAGGTCGTGGGTTCGATCCCCGACCGCCTCATACCAAAAGACGTTAAAATATGGTACTTGTTGGTCCCTGCCTGGCGCTCGGCATTAATGGGTACAAGGACTGGTCGGCTCGGAGTCAGTATAATGTGTCTGAGGAGTGGGGTTTTCATGCTTCACTGCGGCATGGTATCTCAGTGGGCTAGCACTTTAAAACCAGCTTAAGTCTGGGCTAGTACAAGCAGCCGCACATACATACACACGCATGCACGTCGTCGTCATATGAGCGAAATATTCCCAAGTACGGCGTTAAACCCAATTTCACCTCACATCACCTCCTATTTCACTAGAAAATCAAATTCTATTTCAGCATGCTGAAGAAATCGCCACGATGTCTATTGATCTTCTCTCGTCAGTTAACCAAGTGAAGGTCCCTAGCTACCCAAAGGAAGGGCTGAAGCTCAGGATTGGAATGCACAGTGGTACGTTGTTGAGTGTGAATATGAGTGTAGGAACCGGTGGCAGTATTGTATTCTTTTAGTTTTATTGCAGGTGTCTTTGATGCAACATTTATCAAGTCGTGACAGGTGCTTCTAATACGTTGCATGCGAATATACAATTATGGTTCGTGTATCTCGAAGCAACCGATTTGTTCCCGAAAGTTCGAGACTACAAGTGTTCACTGTGTTTGCAAAACAACGTTTCTGTCGAATTGACCATTATGAGAATTGATGGCTCTTATGGTGAGATGGTCATATGAGCGAAAACCTGACAGCTTGTTGATTACATTATTAACAGGGAGTCCAGGTGATACTAGCACAGTCAGGTTAATTTGGCTCATCATCAATTTCAACTCCAATAGCTCCTTCTGCAAGCAGCTCAGAGAGCTTCCAAGAAAGCGCTTTCTTGTCCAACCATTATTAGGGGGATCAGAAGAATGCCCAACACAGCAGGGTGTCAGGACTGTGTTTCTTGACAGTAAAAACCCGGGTACTCCCCAAAAGTCCGTCAATATATTGGTAGGTACCAACCCTGAGACATCAAGAAAAAGGGAGACCATTTGGCATATTTGCATGTTTTCCCTGAATCTTATCAATCACATCAGTGTCAAAAGGGAAGAACATTCAAGGAAATAAATAATTTGATTACTTTAAACGACCAGACTAGGTATTCAAAAGAATGTTATAGCGATCGTTTTCCATGACGCCCTCCACATATTCTTGGCCTACCACTAATGGAGTAAAAACTCAGCATAAAGAACACGGTAATTAAAGAAACAAACCACGCCAGCGGGTTACTTACGAGAACCATATGTATGTGCTGACGTTCGGTATCCGCTAACAAGATGTTGGTAGTCTCGTTAAATTCATTGCATAATCTACATTATTTTCATATTTACATTACATGCCAACTCACACACTGACGCTTTCGAGCGGGAAGTGACTGATCCTTAGCAGCAAAGAGAACACCTTCTCTTTCACTTTTCAGGCCAACCGCCTTCATTCAAGCTGACTCGGCAGTGTTGCTCTCTCCTTGCCTCACTGCATGTTAAATTGGTGCATTAGTCGTTAAAATAGCCTTAAAATTCACTTGCCAATCCGACTCTATGCCGATTTGATAGACACCGCTTGATTGCCACTGATATCAGTGCCGTCCATCAACAAAATTAACATTTACATTAGTGTACAACATTATTGGTTCTTTTCAGATATTTTTCACCATGCAAGATATTTTTCTTCACACAGGAAGCATCAAAACAGTTTGTGCAAAAGTGCCAAATGACATTCTGTCATAAAAGAGTGAAAACACGCCGTCCCATTTTCAAAATGTGACGGCGTGTTTTCACTTTATATCTGTTTATATCTGGGAAGAGATATAAGAACAGGAGGAAGAGCGAGGGCGTAGGTATTTTTCATTCTTGACATGATTCTTCGTGATTATCATCATCATCGTTATTATTACCATTATGTTCAGGTTCCTGTGTGGCGGGCGTGGTGGGGATCAAGATGCCACGATACTGCCTTTTCGGAGATACAGTAAACACCGCCTCTCGGATGGAGTCAAATGGATTACGTGAGTAGTGTTTCAAATCGATTTTCAAACTGAAACAGGTAGACCCAGAAATCTTTACGCAAAAGACTTCATCATGAAAACCCCAAAATATCAAGAAATGTTAATACAATTAACAATGAATTATGTAAAATGTAGATTTACAATCAATACAAATTAGAACAAAAAACGTACAATTGCAGCACACAATAGAGTGTTAGTACCAACATTCAGTGGGTCTGTAAGTACTTACAATGGCAGCATAAAATGCAACGGCAATAATGTCAGTTCTAATATTCACTTAGCAACGACAGGACTAGGCTGGAAATCCAGAGTAAAAATACAGTAGTGCTCAAAAGAAACTATACACCGGAAAATATTGCATACAAATTCACACAAATATAAAAGAAGTGATAAAACCATATTAAGTCGTCACACACGTACAGACCCATCATTTCCGGGAACAAACGGCGAAACAAGTTAACGAATCGCCTAAACGTCGCAAAAAACCCAAAGAACGCAGTAGAAAAAGGAACAAATCAAATCAAAATCAAGGCAAACCGAAAGCATGAGAGCTGTCGAAAGGGCCCGACAAGGAGCTAACCACACCGTCATTGCCAGAACCTTCGGCTGCACCCCAGTAACTGTCATCAGACTGATGCAACGATCAAGACGAACAGGCAATACTTCAGATAGGCTTCGGCGTGTTCGACCACGCGTGACAACACCCGCTGATGATCGCCACATCTGTACAATTCATCTGAGAAATCGTTTTGTAACGTCAACGGCAGCGACGGCACTAGGACACCTAATCAGTCAACATACATTGTACCGGCGACTAAGGCAGTATGGCATTCGAGCACGTCGACCCTACCGCGGAGTGCATCTGATTCTTCCAAACCGACGTCGTTGATTGACGTTGCGGGCGCGTTCGACGTTGGCAGATTGGCGACGTGTGATGTTCATTTACGAGAGTAGGTTTTGCCTGAGCAGTAATGACGTCCGGGCTCGTGTTTACAGACGAGTAGGTGAATGTTTAGCGCCGAATTGCGTTCAGCAAGTCCGAGCGTTTGGACCTAGTAGCGTGATGGTGTGGTGAGGGATCTGCGGCGATCTCAAAACAAGACATGTGATTATTCATGACGACCTAAATGCTTGAAGATACAGGGTTGAAGTTTTACGACCAGTTGTGTTGCTATTTATTCTGCATCAACCACATGGCATTGTCTACCAACACGATAACGCAAGGCCTCATATAACAAGACTGACAAACGACTTTCTGCATAACGTTAACATCGTTGTTTTGCCGTGGCCAGGATGTTCTCCCGACATGTGTCCGATAGAACACTTCTGGGACGACATGGATCGACAAATCATAAGACTACCACCGCCACCTGTCACCGCACAAGTTGAACAATGTCTCCTACAGGAATGGCAACGGATCACGCCTAATGTCATCTTGCGTCATTACTGCGTCGAGTCTTATATTGAGGCCAGTGGTGGCCACACTCACTATTGATTCAACATTTGATGACATATTGCAGAAAGAAAACGTTCAGACTATGATACCATGTGTCTTTCAGTGTCAGTGAGACGGTACTTTCGACTATGTATCAAATGAAATTGTGTACAGTTGCAGTAGAATTGAATACTTGAAATTAAACAGATGGTCATTAACTTTTCTTTTCCTTTCAAGTTTGGTCGAACACCCTGTACACTTTCTGTTGAGCACTAGCTTATTTTCGTCACACATACTGTTTGGATGTAATGTGAGATGATAGAGTGAGTTAGTGAGTGAGTTTACTTTTACGCCGCTGTTTAGCAATATTCCAGCAATATCACGGCGGGTGACACCAGAAATGGGCTTCACACATTTTACCCATGTGGGGAATCGAACCCGGGTCTTCGGCGTGACGAGCGAACGCTTTAACCACTAGGCTACCCCACCGCCCGAAATGATAGAGACATGTGCATGCATATTTAAATAATATCGTCAAAATAGTTCTAGCCAACGCTGTAACCACCATCATCATCTGTTCTAGAGGATCTCATATTGCACTCGACTCTGAAAGCGTTATAATATAGAGTATTCCACACCACTGCTTACATTTGACAATAATACATTTCTGATTAATATTTATACGCAGGGCTTTGAACCTTTTCTTAATATATTACTGAAAAAAAATAAATAGATAAAACTGGTATGTAAACACTAGCAAAGGTACATGACGAAACCAGAAACATGATTTTGTGAAAATGAATGTAGCACATGTTAGGCAGGAATATCCGGTGAAGTTTACGTTAAAAGGACAAAGGAATACCACTACATAAAACATATTATAAGAAGGCGTATGTTTCCTGCATGACTCTCGTCACGTGAAGTATTTGTGTTCATTACTGTTTTCGTTTCAGCCCACAAGATCCATATTAGCCAGGCAACACGCGATCGGCTGATAAAAACGGACAACTACCTGATATCCGAGAGAGGGGAGATCGACATTAAGGTTGGTTTATATTCCTCCTTACGGGGTTAATTCGCATAAGGGGTTTGAGACGTGTTTAACATAACGACCTATTGATAATATTAGAAAAAGATATATTCGGAAGAGGAAATAGTTATATTGTGTTTCATCACACACTGAAACTTCGAATGGTATTAAATATTATTCCTGATCCAAAGAGAAAGACAGCGAATTTGTGAATCCATAGCAGGTCTGTGAAAGTGTCCTTGGTAGTTACGACGTGTCGGAAGAATTGATTTATTCATGATCCAAAGGTCATATATAGGTTAATATATATTGGTGAATTAGATATATATATACTTGTTTTTCACAACTGATTAAATTTAGTCATGATGCATGTTATAGATTATAGAACTTTTCCTGGGCAGATAAGGATATTAAGTACGCTTATTTAAGTAAAGGTACATACATGTGTAAACAGATGAAACAATATTGAAAATCTTTAAACATAATGTTTGTTCTGTACACACGATGGAATTTCTTATAAACGAAACCGGTGAATGTAAGTTCATTTTTCATGTTTAATAATAAGCTCTAAAGATATGAAGTCGTCATCAAAACAACTACATGCTCCACAATGAGGTTGTCATGTGAGTGTCTGGAAGTCTTCGTCGCTAAGAACACTTTGTATTTAGTCAAATCTTTTGAAATCAAGTTAGATAAAACCACTGTAACGGAAGTACAAAGTTCGATATGAAAAACGCCATGGCTTGGAGTAAACGATGTGTTATTGTACAAGTATATGGTTTAGTATTTCTCTTCAAGAAAAGAAAACCCCATATACATTCGTTTGTGGAAGTGAAAAGTACAACGTAAAAGTAAGACTGACAACTCTGGATATAACGAAATTGAGCGATGTTAGTGGGTAATAACATTATGTCTTTCTTCAGGGAAAAGGGAAAATGAAAACATTCTGGCTGGACGGCCGTGCGGATATGACTCAAGCCAATGACAGCATGGTGTGCAAGTACATACCAAAACGGAAGCGAAAGGTAAAACAGGATGACGCAACTTCTGGGACTCTTTCCCTTAGTACTGGTATGGTCAGCGAGTCAGGGTCGACGTTGACTGTGGATAGTAATTCAGACGGGGTGAGTAAAGTGGAGGTGACTGCTGACGTCACTGGGAAACTCCAGGACATCAAGGAAAGCGAAAAGGAAGATAAAAGTATTCGTAACGTGCAGAATGTCAGCTTGAAAAAAGACTTGACAGTTGAGGACATTTCCAATTTTGAAACAGAACAAGACAGCTCCAAATTCGGTACATCTCTCGGGACACAGAATAATGAATCTAACCTCGGAGCTGACACAAAGGGTTCTGATTTTGTAGTTGTCAAAAATGGTTCCTGCACTGGATCCACCGAACATAAAGATGGAAACAGTGTGGTTCCTTCAATACAGGATGGTGTAACTGACGATAAAGCAACTTCAAAAGCGGTTAGTTCTGAATCATCGGGAAAAGGGTTAGTTAATCAGACTCCAACAAAGAATTCCCTCGATCACTCTGTCAATGTTCTCAAAAACAACGGCACTGCGCCGAATGTGAATGACGCAATGGCGTTGCCGAATGAGGTCAAGATGACAGAGAACAGTCCTGTAGCAGACGCTGAAGCTGCTCAACTGGCCAGGGATAGCTCGGCAGTTGTTTCTCATGGCGGTTTTAAAGGACATGACCATGTGCACAAAATACAATCTGATATTGTTATTACTGTAACAAGTGATGAGTGATGGCTTACGGGTGATTTCAGTTTTGCTGACCATGAGCAAATACCTCAGTTTGCTAAAAGGAGGTGCGGGTGACTAAACCTTCAAAGGATTATTGCAAATGTCCATCATGACCTCTAACTGACAATACCCCAATGATTTCAATGCGTGAGGGCCATTTATGGCGTCCCCATATTGTTGGGATATTGATTGCTACAACGTGCAGTACAACCAATAGTTTATAAATATTTCGGACACAACAGTGTATGTATAAGTAATGCAACAAAAGTAAATACATAAGCAATGCACCAATAGAAAAATGGATTTCTAACAATCGAGTCTTGCAAAGGAAGTAACTCAAATCGACAAATGTCATTAATCAAACGTTGTATAAAACTCAATACAATTGTGATGGATGGTTATTGGCAACTTAATAATATGCTTGCCGTACAAGGTAACCAAATTGATCGGGGTGTCAGACTCGATGACTTTGTCGATGTCTTGGAACCCAATCGATGCTCACGATGTCAATCACTAAACTGTCTGTCCCAAAATCAATTATTTTCAGACTGCTGAAATATTAGCTCAGCATGACGTTGAAGACTATAATTATTCACAGTACAACATAAAAAAGGCAAAAGAACAGACAAGTCCAAATCCAAGACGTAATATTATTTCACAGATCAGCATGTCAAAGAGTGGAATGGTTTTCTTGGTGTTAGATTGTTCACAAACAAGTCGATCACCTAAATCTGACTGCATTAAATGTATATCAATGCCAGAGGATGCAGTCTCGACTATCTGCCGAAACAGATTGTACTGCGTGCAAATGGAAAATAGCGATTTAAAGAATATGAACAGAACACTGGAAAAAAAACATATTGACACCACGTGTTGGCGAAACTATTAATTTTCATACATATAATAAAATTATTATCTTTTCCCTAAACTCAACAAATTTCCCTTCATTCGTCTCCGTAAAATTGATTGACACGAGCACACGATGAAAACAACAACAAAACCAACACGTTTACATATTTTAGTTTCATTTAAAACATCTTTTATAGAAAAAATGTACAATAACGGGCGATATAACAACTTCTTAGTATATTTGACAGTATCCCATAAATAACTTTATTTGTGTGTATACAAATATTGTGATTGTTAGTCCCATATGGCCATTTCCATTTCCACATTATGGAGTAGACTAGAAAACATATGCATTTTGTGATAACCAGTGACTATTTAATATAGTTTTGATATTTCCTATTGCACGGTTTGTGGAATAAATTATATTTTGCAGCGAGTGTATGTCATTTTTTTATTAGCAGCGTAGGATGGTAAACCCAGTGGTGAAAGCATTCACCCTTCATGCATATTGTCTGGTTCCATTTCATGTGGGGCGGTGGTGTAACCCAGTGGTTAAAGCGTTCACTCGTCACGCCGAAGACTCGGGTTCGAATCCCCACATGGGTACAATTTGTGAAGCCCATTCCTGGTGTCCCCCGCCGTGATGTTGCTGGAATATTGCTAAAAGCGGCGTAAAACCAAATTCAGTCAGTCAGTCAGTCAGTCAGTCCATTCCATGTGTTTGTGAAACGACTTTCGTGTGGCCCTCACCACGTCTTTCAGTTCAAACGTCAACGCCAGAAAATTGTGGGCCTGGTAGATCTAACGTTCAAGATTCCATAGAACGCAGAAGACAAAATAACGTAGAACATTCTGTGAACAGAAAACTGAAAATCAGCGCTGACACATGAGTTCGCGAAAAGGTAAAGGATGTTCTGATCTGCAAATAGCAAAGTAGCGTCAGAATATACAGTAACTTTATACATTTCTATATTCAGTACTTGCCATTAACAATGTCACACCAATGTACACAGAAAATAGTATTTTGTTTTACAAGGTCCATGAATCGCCGTCCTAGTGCTAATCTTGTTGTTTCTGTGTATTGTATGAGCGCTTCTCAACCTCAACATACACTCAAGGTATTGAATCTATTGCCATACCGCCTCTAAAAGCAACGCTTTCTGCGGTAACTCTAAATGTTAAAAGTGCTCTTACAGATCTTGTAAACACAGATACACAAGGCATGAAAATAAATTCATATATGACTTTGTATCTTTTGTTGTGAATAGGATATAGATATACAGTAAAGCTTACATTTATTTGAAAGTAATTAATAACAAGTTATTCCATATTATTGCTGAACAACAAGTTTACACACATATCGGGAGATAAACAGCACCACAGCATCAACATCGACAGCTGAAGCTTCAATGAAGAGCTATGACAATAAGCAAGTGTCCAATGAAGATCGTTATAAAGATATTTATGTATAGTACAATATTCTCTCAACGCGGGTTTGTCAGGATGTGCATGCATATGTATTTTACGATCCATCGTCTTTGACTATTGAGTATTTCAAGGTATAAAAGCTGATTACAATCGTCTTTCAACATAATGTATGTCACAATATATAAGCAAATTACCATTGTTATGTAATGATCCATAGATACACTACAGACGCCTCTCAACATCGAGTATGACAATGTGTAGGTACATTATGGATATCTCTTAAGTAAGTCAAGGCATGTGGTGGTGGTGGTGGTGGAATTGGGTTTAACGTCGTGCTTGAGAATATTTCGCTGATATGACGACGCGCATGCGTGTGTATGTGTTTGTGCGGCTGCTTGTACTAGCCCAGACTGAAGCTGCTTTTATAGTGCTAGCTCACTGAGATACCATGCCGCAGTGAAGCATGAATACCCCACTCAGACACATTATACTGACTCCGAGCCGACCAGTCCTTGATGTACCCATTAATGCCGAGCGCCAGGCAGGGACCAACAAATACCATATTTTAACGTCTTTTGGTATGACGCGGTCGGGGATCGAACCCGCGAACTTCCGCTCTCCGGGCGGACGCTCTAACCACTGCACCACGGAGGTGGTCAGTCAAGGCATGTACAGACATGGCACAGGTAAAACTGAGGTCTCAGAATATGGATTGTATCAGGACAAACAGGTAAATATGGACGTCTAAAATGGAGCATGCCAGGATACGCAGGTAACGATGAAGGTCGATCAAAACGGCCTATGTCTGGATACACAGGTAAATATGGGCGTCTCACAACACGGAATGTGTCAGTATGTCGGAACACACAGGTAAATATGGACGTCTCACAACACAGCAAATGTTAGTATGTCGGAACACACAGGTAAATATGGACGTTTTACAACACTGCGAATGTCAGTATGTCGGAACACACAGGTAAATATTAACGTTTCACAACACAGCGAATGTTAGTATGTCGGAACACACATGTAAATATGGGCGTCTCACAACACGGAATGTGTCAGTATGTCGGAACACACAGGTAAATATGGACGTCTCACAACACAGGGAATGTCAGTATGTCGGAACACACAGGTAAATATGGACGTTTTACAACACAGCGAATGTCAGTATGTCGGAACACACAGGTAAATATGGACGTTTTACAACACGGCGAATGTCAGTATGTCAGAACACACAGGTAAATATGGACGCTTTACAACACAGCAATTGGCAGTATGTCGGAACTCAGAGGTAAATATGAATGTTTTACAACAGAGGGAATGTCAGTATGTCGGAACACACAAGTAAATATGGACGTTTTACAACACAGCGAATGTCAGTATGTCGGAACTCACAGGTAAATATGAACGTTTTACAACACAAGGAATGTCAGTATGTCGGAACACACATGTAAATATGGACGTTTTACAACACAGTGAATGTCAGTATGTCGGAACACACAGGTAAATATGGACGTTTTACAACACAGCGAATGTCAGTATGTCAGTACTCACGTAAATAAGGACGTTTTAGAACGCAGCGAATGTCAGTATGTCGGAACACACATGTAAATATGGACGTTTTACAACACAGCGAATGCCAGTATGTCGCAACACACATGTAAATATGGACGTTTTACAACACGGCATGTGTCAGTCTGTCGGAACACAAAGGTAAATATGGACGTTTTACAACACAGCGAATGTCAGTATGTCGGAACATACATGTAAATATGGACGTTTTACAACACGGCATGTGTCAGTATGTCGGAGCACACAGGTAAATATGGACGTTTTACAACACAGGGAATGTCAGTATGTCGGAACACACAGGTAAATATGGACGTTTTACAATACGGAATTTGTCAGTATTTCGGAACACACAGGTAAATATGGACGTTTTACAACACAGTGAATGCCAGTCTGTCAGAACATACAGGTAAATATGGACGTTTTACAACACAGGGAATGTCAGTATGTCGGAACACACTTGTAAATACTGACGTTTTACAACACAGGAAATGTCAGTATGTCGGAACACACATGTAAATATGGACGTTTCACAACACGGCATGTGTCAGTATGTCGGAGCGCACAGGTAAATATGGACGTTTCACAACACGGCATGTGTCAGTATGTCGGAGCGCACAGGTAAATATGGACGTTTTACAACACAGCGAATGTCAGTATGTCGGAACATACATGTAAATATGGACGTTTTACAACACGGCATGTGTCAGTATGTCGGAGCACACAGGTAAATATGGACGTTTTACAACACAGGGAATGTCAGTATGTCGGAACACACAGGTAAATATGGACGTTTTACAATACGGAATTTGTCAGTATTTCGGAACACACAGGTAAATATGGACGTTTTACAACACAGTGAATGCCAGTCTGTCAGAACACACAGGTAAATATGGACGTTTTACAACACAGGGAATGTCAGTATGTCGGAACACACTTGTAAATACTGACGTTTTACAACACAGGAAATGTCAGTATGTCGGAACACACATGTAAATATGGACGTTTCACAACACGGCATGTGTCAGTATGTCGGAGCGCACAGGTAAATATGGACGTTTCACAACACGGCATGTGTCAGTATGTCGGAGCGCACAGGTAAATATGGACGTTTTACAACACAGCGAATGCCAGTCTGTCAGAACACACAGGTA